GTCTACAGACTCAGCAGAAGACAATGTTATATGCATTCTCTCTTTCTTGCTGATTCCAGGGGTCATGCAAGGCAGAGTAAGGATGCGTTAGGGTGCCTATACTTACTGTATCCTGACAATGATAATTATAATTCTCATATGAGTTTTCTTCTGGAGACTCATCCTTCACCTTGTCGGACAAAAAGGATCTGCCGTTCCTTAATAGAGAATATTGGCCCTCAGCACTGTCAAGCCTTCAACTGATAACAGAATAAGTTTTCACGATCTACCACTAAAGGTGATTTATATTATATAGAACAGTAAATAAAATGATTTGACATTTACTGTGAAGTGAGGGAGATCCAACAATATGTGACATCTCAGATCCTTTACTATCTACAGGTTGTTATACTGAGGCATAAAATCCAAATTATTTCAGGCTACATGCAAAGCGATATCAGTTTTCATTCCCTATTACATTGGGTATGAGCACATACTTCAGTATTTCGATTTAAAAGGTGAATCTTCTGGAAGTTGAGGGCACCTCCAAATGCTTAGTCCCAGTATGGGATTTTTATCTAATATTGCGCAAACTGATGCATGTTTCTTTTGAATTTGTAGCTACATGTGACACAATATTCCTTACATGGAAAACTGTCATTCTAATGGCTTTAGTATAAGTTACAAGGCTGTATGGCTTAGTCACTGAATATCCCTACCTCATCTGGCATGAGGACAGAGCAGTGCATAGACATCCTGTGCTGTCTGATTCCACTTGGCACAAGTAATCACCATTCCATCTTCCCTTTTCCATATTAATCTGAAATGGAACGCAGGTTGAATCATGTGGATATGAGGACAGCTCTCTGTTACTACGAAGACAAAACTAAAAAGGTCAGAAGATGCACTCAACTATGCCCTGAGGAGGTAAAGTTAGGGTAAACCTATCACCAAAAACAAAGTATGATTTATTAAGCAGTAGAACGTACTCCATCTACAGAAAGCAAAAATGATTGAACTAAAGGCTACTCTGCATGATTAATAGCCATAATGTGGTTAGTTTTAAATACTTTCTTAAGAAGAGACTTGTAAGGCAGCCTTATCAGGATTCTTCACATTTTTATTCAATTTATTGAATTTGGCTGTAAAAACAAAAGGACATACAGTTTGTGAAAGCCGGACTAGTCTGCTTGGAAACTTAGGTTCTCCTTTGCCCTCAAGAGGTACTACTTGATAGGATTTTTCACAATAAGATAAGTGGAAGTACCTCACGCTCATAGGGAACTCCAAAGTGGAGTTCCTATGGGTAAGCATGACATGGTGATGTACTTCAGATTACCAGAAAGAGTTTCCAGTTGTTTTTTTTAACAAGGAATCATGTTAGAAATCTTTGCATATTACACCCCAATTTCAAATGGAGAAAATAAGAGATTACTTACCTTCAGTTACAATACTCTTTGAATTGTTATCCTTCACTTAGCAAATGTTCTATCGTTCTGCCCATTAGTCTGATGCAAATTAGCATCTTGTACAGTTGATACATGTGATTGTATAAAACTGTAGCCTTACTGCACATATGAAAAGATCCACAGTTTAAAGATTGCACCAGGATTTTAAAACCTCAAAAAAAACCTTAAATTATGTAGTATATTCTGAAACTGCATATATGGATCCTTGAAACTCACAAATTTTCCCTCAGGTATCTAAAATTTTTGGCTTCTCAAATGTCTTAAAAATCTCATGAGCATCATATCATAAACCCACACAAATACCATTGATCCCCATATACTAGCTTTCCTGTTGATCTTTGAAATACACTTATATATCAATTGACACAGAAGTTTCAGAAAACAGTTGTCAGTATCAGGGCTTTTTTCTTGTAGATCTATTGATGGCTAAAAATGAGTCAATTAGAATGACTTGCGGTCACCCTGGTTCATAAGAACCTGGCTCCTGGACAGATGGCACCCCGTCAGAGCAGATTTGAATGGATTGGTTTTGCATTCGTCCTAACCAATTTCTCCTCTTCACATCCTGGATGCATATGGAAGCCACCAGCCAGTTTATCAGCTGAGCACAAATAATCTGGGAAGATCCCTTACCAATGTAGTTTAGGGCAATTTCTTCCACCATAACATTGAATTTCAAATGCGGTATCTGGGGGAATCAATCTTTGCCTGAATAGATATAACACATGCACTTATAACAATAATAATCTTTGCCATTGATATAGCGCCTTATCACGTCTTCCATACATCTCAAAGCGATTCACAGAATATACTGTAAAGTGAATTGACTGTATATTTTGTGGATAAAACGCAGCAGTCAATTGTGCACAGCAGTGTCCCACAAACAGTCGTCGATTGAAGTGAACAATTTATTATTATTTTTTTGGAAAGGAATTATTATCCCCAGAAAAGCAATCCGCCAATCAACTAACAACTACACCAACAACAACAAAATTACATTTGTATAGCGCCTTTCATGTCGGGAGGATGTCCGAAGGCGCTGGACAGACAGAGTTACGGACCCGAGCTGGGGGGCGGGATTTGGGAGGGTGAAGGGCAGTGGGGGAAGCAGGGAGATCGAAAGCACGATCTAAGAGGAGAGTCTTGAGATGGGTCTTGAAAGAGACAAGGGAGGGGGCGTGATAGGGAGTTAGGAGGTTGAAAGCGTGTATGAGGGTTTTGGTGGCCTGCGGAGTGAGACAGCGGCAGAGTCGGGCGATAATGCGAAGGTGGGCGAAGGCAGAGCAGTTCATGGCACAGATGTGGGGTAGAAAGGATAGTTGAGGGTCAAACAAGACCCCAAGGTTCCGGACTGGCTTAACAAGGTGGAGGGTGCAACTATGGATGGTGATGTTGTCAGCGCCTGACGCGTGGAGGCGTTGAGAGAAGCCAATCAGGAGGGCCTTGGTCTTGTTGACGTTCAACAGAAGAAAAGTAGCTTTCATCCACGACTTGATGTCTGACAGACATTCTTTCAGGACAGCAGTGGTCATGGAGTCAAGAGTGGAGGCAGCGAGGTATAGTTGGATGTCAACCGTATACATGTAGAAGTTGACCCTATATCTGCGGATGATGTCACCGAGGTATTGAAGAGGAGGGGAACAAGGACAACCGGGTTCCTACTTACTGTTAGATAAGCAGAGACGTGTGGAGTAAGGAAACTTGGCCAACATTTCACCCTGCCGGGAATCGAACCCAGGTCTCTCGCTTGCGAGGCGAGTGCTCTAACCACTGAGCTACAGGACTCCACAATGTATTACAATCTAATCCAGTGAAACATATCCTCTTGATTTGCCTTCTGGACCAAATGTACAATTTAGTATTCTTGATAATTTACTTCACAATGTAAATGCATATTTCAAAGTATTTGTTCTGTTTTCAATCTGCTGAAATTTAATAAGCACTCTGAAATACTACCCGTGTGAATGGTGCTATATAAATGCAAGTTGTTGCTGTAATAGTAAGCAAAGAAATGTTTGTAATTAATAATAATAATAATAATAATAATCCTTGCATTTTGATATAGCGCTTTTCACGTCGGGAGGACGTCCCAAAACGCTTCACAGAACACACTGTAAAGTGAATTGACTGTAAATTTGTGGGCAAGTATTCATTGTTAAACAGTCTATTCATTTAGTGGACATTTGTTAAGAATCTTAAATTCTTTTCATGAAAATTTCTGAGCCATCTCTGGTTGACGAGATCTGAAAATGGACTGTAATGGTGACTATGCAGGGATGTGAGAAGGGACAGTTGCATGGTGTAAGGTTAAAATGATTTATAAGGGCCGGTATATCCATTTTCACTTCCACCCATTGATTATACTGCTTAACCTATCCTAGAGGCAAAGGATAACTTCATTCAAAGGGAGCAATGTTGGATTATATACCTTTGATATGATCGTCCTCATTCTTTGAATGCATTTCAACCTCCACAGACAAATTAACAGGTCACATCCAAGCAGGTCACAGAATATGTTTAGAATCAGACAGTACATGTACAAGTAGGATATTTGAAGCCACAGAACAAGATTTTTACTTTTAATATCTGGAATATAAAACGCCTGCAGGTGAAACCCACTCCCAAAGGCAAGGGAAAGGGTCCCAAATCTCTTAATAGGGATCCGTAACTGGTCAAGGCGAGGGCATGAAAAGAATGTAGTTTTCAACGATATGTTAAGAAGCAAAAAAACTCTTGGAATCTTGACCGACAATAAGATTTTCTGCAAATCAAGTATATAGGTAGCAATTCAATACAAAATTAAATTTGTATAGCACCTTTCACATCGGGAGGACGTCCCAAGGCGCTGGAAAGTCATGGATTTGGACCCGAGCTGGGGGTCGGGATCAGGGAGGGTGGAGATAAATAGTTTAGCAATCGGGGATGTTATAAGTACCTTTCAAAACTCATGAGAAAGAATATATTTATTTAACAAATAACATCCTTTTGGTGAGGTCTCAAAGTAAACTAAAAATGTTTGCACCATATATGTTCTTGCTTTAGCTGAAATTGTTTCTTTAATTTACTTTATTTAATAAATTTATTTAATTCATTTAATTTAATTCAGTTACGTTTGGTCAAATAATTGAACATTTCCAAGTAAATATAATGTGTAATGTTGCTTATTGTTTGCACTCCTAACTTGGAATTGCTATGGCAAAAAAATCCTTCTCAACTAAATGCTGCACATGAAACGGAACCATCTTCATCACAATATATTTGACAACCTTTTTTTCATTGGAGAGGTGGAAGGAACAAGTGGCATTTCCAACATGATAGCATCATGCACAAGTGCTGCAGTAATGTATTTCAATGCAATTTCTGTCATTGCTCTGCATGCATTTAAAACAAAGGAGGAAACATGTTGTCAAATATACATTTTTCCCCGTACCTTTAATAATGCACTTTCCTGAAGGTGTACACCAACACTTGGACTCTCTTTTCACAGTTCACATATACATTCATATTCGGATCAAAACATGTAGGCACAAGAGGTATAATATAGACACTTACATGGTAATGTTTCTGCCCGGTTTTTCTGGATCATTATGCAGATTTGTAGCACCAGTTGTGGCGCACTCTCCAGGAATGTCTCCAGAAGGCGCAGCATGTTCACATCTGCATATTCGTACATCATGGCCCAGTAAAATCGGCGCTGGTGTTCTTTCTGCCTCCTGCTCTGAATGCCCAAGTACATCGTTCGGATATACCTGAAAAAAACAAGATTTGAACTAGAGCTTCACAAATAACAGCAACAAAATGGCATGTAATCTGAACTGGCGTCAGTAGCACAAATTGTGATAGGGATTTCTGAGCAAAGCTTCTGTTGATATTAGATGACAGTGGTATAGGAATTTGGGGAATACTATAGTCTTAACATCATTAAGGGAAAATGTTAGCACTTAACACTTCAAGAGTCAGTGTTTTAAATAGTGTTGAATAGAAGTCTGAAATCACTTTGAAGTTGTAAATCATATTTGACATTGCAATCTTTGGGCCTATACCAATTCACTGATTTTAAATTATACGCAGCCAAAGATTAATCAATCAATTACTATCATCGAGCCAGCCTTGAACAACTGCAACAAAGAAATAATGCATGCAAGTCTTGTGCTACAGTAGAATGACAGTGATGCACTGAAATGTATTTTTTGGAATTAGCAATGCAAATGTCATATGCATCCATTGACAAAATTGATGAAATAACCAAGAATCATATAACCACACACCAAATATACAGTTAATTGCAATAATGTCCTGCTGTTGTAATTAAATATATCCCAAATATTCAATTTCAGCAAGCTACAGAATATTTGAATACTAAAATAATCTTTGGGTGCAACAGCTGTTTCAATGTAAAGTTTGAAACAAGAGGGTCTCTTTTGTTAATGAGATTTCCCCCCCACGCCCCAATTTTTCATTGCCAAGGTGATCATTTATCTATATGGGGATTCAGCAGTTTTTTTTCCCTTAATGAAGGAATAATTATATGAAATGTTACGCACAATATAAATAATATTTTAAGAATAAATATGTTACAACACGATAATAGGAGAAGATAAGTTACATACTGATATACATTATTTAGTCACAATATTGGGACGTCCTCCTGACGTGAAAGGCGCTTTATAAATGGAATCTTGTTGTTGTTGTTGTAGTCCAGTAATGGCTAGATTTTTGACCTACAAAACGGAGAGTCACTGTACTTTACAGCATATCCTGTGAAGCAATTTGGTACGTACTGATATCCTCCTGATATGAAAGGCGCTAAACCAAATGTAATGGTTATTTATTATTAAGTGGCCCATGCAGACACCCATTTAAGTCCCAACATTTTGGGACAATAATCCTTTGGTCATTCGTCCCTCCTGGACAATGCATGCACATTAAAGAGGAAGCAAGGTCCAGGGGAAATGCTTTCTGTTCCAAGTACTCCCCCAGACTTTCCTTCCTCTTCAAGGTATTGTCTACGATTGTAGCTCTTAACTGTTGGCCCTTGTGTAATATACAATTAAGCCAATAAACTTTATATTTTACAAAACTGTTTGCATTTGTAATATCTCAAGTCATCATGTAAAATTCACAACAAGAATGAAAAGTAATCAATTTAAATGTTATAAATTGCATCCAACTTCTAATTTCTAGGCTTTCAAAATACTTTCTGGATGATATTCTGCAGCATATTAAACCGCAGTGGATGATATTAAGATGTGGTATGCTGCTGTTACATTCATTTGGAACACCAATATCATTTACAAGAGAAACCTGCCAGTAAAAGTTTAGAAAAAAATTAGGAGGAAAACAGCTTTAACATTTTCTCCAAGTCAATACTGCACACACAGAATGTACACTTTAACTGTGTACAGCAATATAACAGAACGCACGGAAAGGAGAAGCTGCAAGAGTAAAACAATTAATACAAAGAAGTCTTGCTCCAAGGTGACATGTTTGGCAATGGAACGTTAGAATCGAGCCAGCCTCCTGTGGCAGTCTCAGTATTCCAGTTCCCGAGCCAGACAGGTCCACAGTCTCCAAAGCGCTGCTGATTACAGCCCGGCCGATCTGGCAGGACTTGGAAGGGCAGACCAGTCTCTGGAGGCAGAGATTCTTCCCCCTCAGATCCTGTTTACCCTCACTCTAACACAGTGGTCAGCCAACAAAATCATTTTTTCCTTATTAAATTGTTCTTAATTGATGGCCCGTCATGGGTATCGCGGCTCAGTAGGTACTGGAAACAAGCTACAGATGTGGTGCAGACTTGCCTGGACTGGTGAGGGTGTTCAGCGAGCCACTTTTTGATGCCCCAAAAGTAGCGAAGACAGTGATATCAATGGCAACCTAAGTGTTTTTTGCTGGTTCGACTCCACATGTGTCAGACACTCAGTTGACCAAAATAAGGATCAAACTACTTAAAAGTAGAAAGTTAACTTTTGATGTCATACTTTGATTTATGGTATGTGTAATATTCAAATACTGCAGCAATTGTGACAGTGAATCGTCTATTTCACATGTTTAGCACTGGGTGGCACTGACGCTCACACTAAAATTATAGAATCAAGGAAGTTTCAACACAGGAGGCCATTTGAACCATTGTGCCTATGCTATACTATCTACTCCAATCCCATTTCCCTGCTCTTTCCACATCAATGTGAAATAGTTGTACAAGTCAATACAAGACTACATGTCTGGTAAATTTCAAAGCACTAATCCAGTAGCATGACCCTACCAGTTATAGGCACAAGAGTGACACAGTTGCAAATTCATTTAAAAATGTATTGAGCATGTTTGTTTTCAAGGAGTGAGACTTTCATGGGATTTAAAATAGATGACCTTTTTTTCAATACAAATGAGAAAAATTGCCATTCCAAAGGGTGACACATGATGGATCTGATTCAAATTCTCCGACAGTTAATGTATCAAATTAAAAACCTAACCAGATAAGTCAGAGAGGTCTGAATTCCAGCAAAATATAACTGTATATTCATTAAGCAAACGGAGCTAGAAAGTGATTACAGAGAAACAGACTTGATTTTACTGCCCCACCTGCTTCACATTCCTGACTTTTTGAATTGATGTTTTATTCGATTACAAAATACACAGTCACTACACTTTACAGTATATCCTTTGAAGCGCTTTGAGAAGTCCTCCCGATGTGAAAGGCTCTATATCACATGTTAGGATTATTGTTACTGTTATTACAATTTTATTGATTTCATCTTACTGTTCACTATGTAGAGAAACCTGAGAAATCAAAACTTACCCATGGATAGAAATTTGCTTCAATGACCTCTTCTGTTGCCTAGGTTTGTCATTGTTAAGCAATCTGAGATGCTACCTCAAGTGAAGAGCGTTATATAAATGCAATTGTTGTTGCACAATACAACTCACGAAGCCAGTTAGGAACCTAGGTGTCTTGTTCGACCCTCAACTGTCTTTTCTTCCCCACATCCAAGCCATGACATGTTCTGCCTTCCCTCACCTCCGAAACATCGCTCGACTCCGCCACTACCTCACCCCTCAGGCCGCTGAAACTCTTCATCACCTTCAGGCTCAACTATGCAAATGCCCTGCTTGTCGGCCTTCCCAACTCCTCCCTCCACAGGCTGCAGATAATCCAGAACTCTGCAGCCCGTGTCCTCTCCCGCACCAAACTCCATGACCCCATCTCCCCCATTCTCGCCCGACTCCATTGGCTCCCTACCCTGCAAAGGATCCAGTTCCAGATCCTGGTTCTCACCTACAAAGCCCTCCATGGCCTCGCTCCACCCTACCTCTGCGACCTCCTAACCCCTTACCAACCCGCCTGCTCCCTCTGCTCAGCCGGCTCTGGCCTGCTCCACGTCCCCCGACTCACCCGCCCCACCATTGGCGGGAGAGCCTTCAGCCATTCTGCCCCCAACCTCTGGAATTCCATCTCCCAGTCACTCCGCCTCACCCCTCCTTAGCCTCCTTCAAGTCCCACCTCAAAACCGTTCTCTTCGACCATGCCATCGGCCATCCCCTTTCCCCTCCCCTCCCTTCTCCCTCCCTGATCCCAGCTCGGGTCTGAAATGCTGTACACTGTCCAGGGCCTTGGGAAGTCTCCCGACATCAAAGGCGCTATACAAATGTAATCTTGTTGTTGTTATTGGTGTTTAGCGACAAGTGTTGGAGTTTGCAAATGCTGCCTGTGCTTATTTCCTCTGTTCTAACAGACTGAAAGCAATGAGTCTATGATCTAACTATCATCCTCACTTTACCTGATTATTTCAATATTAAAACGCTTACAACAATAGAGAAACAGATTCTCATCATGATTAAATTTCTTTAATATAAGTCAAGAATCTCAAGATAGAGATCATAGTGTAACTGGCAAAAAATGATTCATTGTTACAAAAGTATCAAAACAAATCCCCTGAAGCTTTTCTTGGCAATGAATGTATTACATTTGTCCTGGCATTAGAAAATGAATTATTTCTCTGCTTCCTACTACTCCTCCGTGCTCTGATGCAATGATAACAAATGAGGATTTTGAATGTCGGCCAGACTCAGTTAGTAGCATTCTCGCCTCTGAGCCAGAACGTTGTTGGCTCAAGCCCACCTTGAGATTTTGAAATCACATAGTTTCGGCTGACGCTCCAATACAGTGCTGATTGTGCATTTCCTTGTTGGAGGTGCCATCCTTCGAATGAGACGTTAAACCAAGGTCCCGTCTACCTGTTCAAATGGATGTCAAAGATCCCAAGACAATATTGGAAAAAAGAGGAAGTTTCTCCTGGTGGCCAGGCCAACAATATGCCAGATAAAATTAGGCATTTACATCATGGCTGTTTGTGGTACACTGCTGTGAACAAATTGTCTGCCAAATTCGCCAACGAAATACATAATCACTACAACAGCTAGATTACATTTGTATAGAGCTTTTCACATCGGGAGGACATCCCAAGGCGCTGGACAAACAGTGTTTTGGATCCGAGCTAGGGGTCGGGATCGGGGAGGGTGGAGGGCAGGAGGGGAAGGAAGATGACCAAAGGCACAATCGAAGAGGGTCTTGAGATGCAGCTTGAAGGAGGCAAGGGAGGGGGTGAGGCAGAGAAACTGTGGGATGGAGTTCCAGAAGGTAAGGGCAGAGTGGCTGAAGGTCTGCCCGCTAACGGTGGGGCAGGCAAAGCGGGGGCAGGCAGGATGGTAGGGGTTTAGGAGACAGGGGTGAGCAAGGAGGGCTTTGATC